AAACTTCATTATGGGAAGAACACACTCTCTGTCTGTGGCTCTTATCTTTTCTATTTCATTCCTAATTACCATCCTCTGTTAATGCCGTAATTATTCCAAGTGTCACAACATTAGTCAACTTAAATTGGAGCGTAATGAGGCAATAGACACGGAACAAGCAAAATCGTAGTTTTTACACAAAGGAGGTCTTCCCTTTTCTCGTAATTATGTCTAAAAGCGAGATCCCAATCACACACGCGGGTTTCAAAAGTGAGACGAGGTTCGGAGGATAATTAACTTTGATTTGAAAGTTGCCTTGAACCTCGCCAGGATAAAAATAATGAATAATCTTTAGACTTTTTCTAAAATGCATTTTTTTGTAATATTGTAAAACAAGAAGTGACCGCCGCTCGGCTGATCTCAGGTGACTCCACTCTTTCTTCAACAAGTGTATTATGTCTCCGTTGTTCTGTAGATTATTTAAATGCTCACTTGATTGTCAGCGTGTGAAGGCGAGGCTGCTTTGGCTCTCTGGAGGTTGGAAAAGGCTAGTGTTAATCATGGCAGAGCAGAGCGAGAGGAATTAAAACTAATGAAGTCCTGAGAGACACGCCTGCTCACTGTGTCTTTGTCTCTCCTCGCTGTGGACTCTGAGCGTCTCGGGGGATTTATCTGTCTGTCTCTGTCTGTCTTTAAACCTACAAGGGGGGGGGGGGGGGTGTACAGTATCCTGAACACCTGTGCAGTCACATGTAATCCTTGAAGTACAAATGGTACCTTCTAGGGTTCTGATGTTCAGTTAGTTCCAGCTTCAAATATCTTTAGAAAATAAGACTTAGATGAAAGTAGTCTGAGGTTACAGTCCAATGTTATTCTTTTTCTTAGGACGGTTCCTAAAAACGCATCTTTCTAGAATAACCTTTTACTAGATTTTTAAAACCCCCACTTGTTGCCATGCCGGCGTAAACGGTTGTTTTATTTGTTTTGGTTGTTTTGGTTCAACCATTTTACTCTGTAGCACTTTGAGTTTTGTTTACTCAAATGAAAAGTGCGCTTATAAATACAATTGATTATCATTATTATTATTATTAAAGCAGTTAGGGTTAGGGAAGAGCTGTATGAGTTGTGTAAATGGTTAGGAAAGGAGCTTTATTATCTCCTTTTATGTGACCCACCAGCTTCACCCTGCCAGCTTCTGTGGGCTCTACACACACACACACACACACACACACAACACACACACACACACACACACACACACACACACACACACACACACACACACATACACACACACACATACACATACACATACACATACACACACTTACTTCTGATTTTCTCCAAATTAAATGTTGTCATTTTTCTCTCTGGTGAGAAATCAGGAGCGAAAGTTCCAAACTAAATCCTTAAAAAAAATGTATTTGTACACATACACACACACACACACACACACACACACACACACACACACACACACACACACACACACACACACACACACACACACACACACACACACACACACACACACACACACACACTCCCACAAAGAACCCATCCTACAACTTACAAACATTCAGTAATTGCAGATTGAGTTTTGTTTACTCAAATGAAAAGTGCACTTATAAATAAAATGGATTATTATTATTATTAAAGCAGTGACGTTAGGGTTTGGAAAGAGCTGTATGACTTGTGTAAATGGTAAGGAAAGGAGCTTCAATGCTTCCTTTATTGTCTCCTTTAGCAAAGGAAACATTCAACGCACCATCATGTGACCGACCAATCGGCCGTTCAGGAAAACAACCGATCGTAGTGACAGCTAAACGCAGATCATGCACGTTAAGGTGCTCATTCGCTGAAACTGCAGTTATTCAACTCAAAATGTCACTCGCTGATTTCTTTCACCCGCAACCAATCACAGGAACATCTGAACTTTATCAATTGCACAATGTTTATCTTTGATTGTATTCTTCTTGTGTGAATCTGTACTGTACTCTCGCTCTTATTCTGCTGCTGAATTTCCCCACGGGCATTAATAAAGGTCCATCGTATATTTTCTTATCTTAACGTAGTTTTGAAGGCGGACATTTCCGTTAGATCTTGATTAAGCAAACAGAATAAGGGATGGAAGCTTGCTTGTTTAAAGTATGCTTTAAATTAAAGATGAAATCACTTTATTGTCACATGCACAATAGAAACCGTGTAGTTTAGGCACGTCTTATGTTCCAGGCTCCTCAAACAATGCAACGTACAATATATGTATATACAAATAAATAGTGCAAGACAATGGTGCAAAAGACGACAATGAAATATAATATGATGAGATATTGCATCATTGTCCTTTTGATAGATAGATATATATACTTTATTTAGTTGAATGCTACAGTAGATTAGCTTAGCTTAGCACAAAGACTGGAAACGGGTAAACATGGACAGCAGTTTTAATAATTGTTAAAAAACTTGATTTGATTTATTTTGAATGTGTAAAACAATAATACAAAAATGTAACATGAGAATTATTATACAATACACAATTAATCAGTGTCAAATTGATATACAAAAATATTACTGATTCTAAATGATGTATAAACAAATTATCTACTTAATTACACATCCCATTTTTTTTTTTTTTCTTAAATAAATACATTTGTTATTGAAAAACAAAAACAACAAATAAATAAACCAATAAATAAACAAACAATTAAGCAGATAAATAAACAAACAAATACATAACAGAGGTAAATGATATTCAAGAAAAGATCAAACTTCACCGTATTACTGTAGAGGAATATAAATGTGTTCTGGGGTTGAGTAATGTTGTTTCTTCTGCCTTTGTTTTCATTGAAAAGGTCTAAAAAGTTGTACCCTTGCTCACCTGGTCATCTTCTCCTCAGTTCACCTGTGCAATGGCACGTTCCACAAACACCTGCAGGACCTGTTTGTGCCGCTGGTCGTTCGATACATCGACCTGATGGAGTCGTCCATCGCTCAGTCCATCCACCGCGGCTTCGAGCAGGAGACCTGGCAGTCCGTCAAGTAAGATCATTCTTTGATGTTTGCACTCACCTCAAGGCCGTTTGAAACTCTTCAAATTAGGGAGACAAGAAAAGATCCACACAAACCCAACCGTGGTTTCTGTCAGAGCTGTCAACGCAAAGCAGATGCAGTCGCTGTTGAACCGTTGACTCTTTGTTGTGGATAAAAAGACTTTGAATGTAAGTGAATTTCACCAAACATGGACTGTTTTGCAAAGCATCGCTCAACCCATATTACCGTCCTGAAACGTCTAACATACACATTCAAAAAAATCCATTGACTTTGAGTAGAGAGAAGACGACTCATTTCCCGCGTTTAAGGAGTGGTGCAAGAATGAGTCTTAAAACCCGGAAAATAATGAGCATTTACAACTTTCTAGTTCCCTCGTCTTGAAGTCAATGTTTTCTTGATCCTTTGTGTGGTTAGAGGCCTGAAATAAGGACACATTGAGAACAGCTGTTCAGAATCAGAATACCTTTACTAGTCCCACGGAGGGGAAATGTGCGTAGTTACAGGAAAAAGAGCCACAGCTTAATGTCACATATATTAAATATGTGACATGCATTAAAAAAAAAGTACTAAGTCATGATATATGAATATATAATAAAATCATTTACAAAATACACATCCTGTAACAGTTCTAAGGATTTAGCAGCCAGGTATATATTACACAGTTATTAACGGCATTTATATATTGCACATATTGCACATAGTTAAAGGTGGGGTAGGTAAGTTTGAGAAACCAGCTCGAGTGCGCTAGAATTTGAAAATACACAGCCGGAGAAAATCTGCCACTTCCTCACAGAGCCCCTCCTCCAACACACACGAACGCGCACATGACCAATGAGGGCACGAGATAAGTTTGTGCACAGATGGAAGGCTGACAGGCAGGTAGGCCATCCAGTTATTTTAGCCGGGCCGGCTCAGATGATTGGTCGTGCTTTTTACAGTATTACAGCTTCCACAGATGACATTTTTTTATTGATTTTTTGTCAAAGCACTTCAGATATTCATTGCTATCGGGATGTTAAGAGCATTCCATGGAATATAACAAAAAGTGTATCTCGAGCCGGTTTCTCAAACTTACCTACCCCACCTTTAACAAATGTCTAAATGAGACTACAAAATGTAATCACACCAACAGATATGTAGCATAACGTTAGCTATTTCCTTTTGGCGACTGCATTAACGCTTAAAAAAATCCCCAAATGGTGTTAATACGGGAAGATTATCCTGCTGAACAAAACATGTGGAGTATCACCAATGTGTGTTTGCCCTATAACTGAATCCAATGGAACAATCCCATTGCCCCTTGTCGAGGGAGTCCTTTGCCTTGCTAACTTCCAAGTGGCTGAAATAAGATGTGACTGTTCTCCTTGTGTGTGCTGGAGGAAAGTATGACCACCTTTTCTTCACTTTCACTCTCTCTTTAATCTCTTTTTAACATTTTCCCTTCCCGCCATCCACCGGCAGGTCGCTCACTAACAATCTAGCCAGCGTCCCTCTCCCCAAAGTCCCCAGCCTCCCTCTCTCGCTGCCTCAGATGCCGAGCTTCTCTGCCCCCGCCTGGATGGGACCGCTGTGTGAGAGCACGTATGTATGAGGGGGGGGGCAAGGAGGGGGAAAGGACTCACATCCTTTCCTCAAGTAGAAGTACCAATACTCGTGTTTTAAAATACTCTGGTAGAAGTACTGACTAAACTTCTTTACTCAAGTAAAAGTAAAGAAGTATGGGCTTTGAAATGTACTTAAGTAAAAAGTACCCATAACTAGCAGCTGTTTTAAAGAGTACCTGGACTAATCTAAAGGTCTTCACAGGGTCCGAGAATCCATATGTGATTTCATAGGCGTACCAGTGTTTCTGTTAGCCCGTATTTACCAGACTCTTAACTGAAAGAAATCTGATAAAGTCCGACAAATGTATTCCTTTGTGTCCTTTTAGCTGCTGCTTCAACAATGACAATGTTTTCTTGTAATCATTCAAACTATCGGATTGATTCCCATTTAGACCAGATATCGATGATGCCAAGAGGACGCATCCTAACTTCTTCGGTTTAGTTTTCTTCCTGAACCACCCGCAGGTTACAGCTTGTACTTATCTTATGTTACACAGATTCCTCTAAAGAAATTCCTGTCAGCATCCTGTGAATATTAGCAGTAGCATGTTTAGCTTCAGCATTAGCGCTTTTCTCCGTGGTTAAAACTAAGTACTACAAAAATAATGGGGTGTCTAATTTTACCAGTGATATCCGAAACCTATGGATAAAGGCAAAATGCCAAATGAGTGGAAAGCTAACAAAATGTGCTAATGCTAAAGCTAAGCATCTGCCAATATGTACAGGATGCTAACAGGAGTTGTATTGATAGGAATCTGTGTTACAGTGAAACATAGGGTAGGTGAAACTGTTAATTGTTTTGGTTTAGGAGGACAATTACCAAATGTATTGGAATCCATCCTCTGGGCATCGATATCTCATGAAAATCCATCCATTGGAGAAAACGTTTTTATCGTTACAGCAGCTAGCATGGCTAAAGAAATGTAATTGCTTTTGCTAAGTACAGATATAGAACTGCAGGGCCAAGTCAGCACTAAGATCTGTAGTCAGACTTGAATCAGAATTAAGTTGGACAACTATTTGAAAAGGAGAACTGGATCAAGATTAGACTTTAGGGAGTTAGTGTGAAGACCTTTAGTCCTGACTGTCCTCCGTCTGTCTCTGTGTCTGTTCGTCTATCTGTTTGTCAAACACTCCACATCACTCAACAGGAATGAATACACCAAGAAACTTCTGTAGTAAAAGTCCGTTGAATCGTTCTGCCTTTCCCTCCCCCGCATGCTCAAGTTTTACCGTCGACTTCAAAACTTCTACTTGTCATCCTGTTTGGTCCCAGTCTCTGAGAGACAAAGAGCACGCAGCGTTACTCGTATCTCTCTGAGCCAAGCTCGGCGTTGAGAAACGACAAATTGTTTCTGTGACACCGTGTCTCTGCTGTCAGCGGGGGGGGGACGCCTGCATGCGATCGCTCCTCAGAGGCTCGTTGGTGGAGAGTGTGTGTTGTGACGAGTCCTTGTGCTGTGTGCATGTCACCATGTGAAGGATATCAGCGCGATAATAACTCAACACTTTCTTTTTCTAGCTTGCATGGGATGAATCTACCTGACATCTTGTAAGTCGAGACAAGTTCTGTGTGAAAAACCTTTCAGGAGTTCAATGTTTAAGATAAGATTTGGAAATGTTTGTGTTGCAGCCGCATAAAAAAACAAGGCATTGCACATACGGAGAAATGAAATAGTAGAAAATATACAAGTTGACCGTGACGATAAAAAATCTATAAACTCTGACGATAAAACACTATTGAAGAGCTTTAGACACAATATAAAGCAGGTTGTTATTTATATTAAGTGTGTTAAATTAAATATAAATGTGAAATGTACACTTCAACTTTTACATTTACAACATTTTTATACAACCTACCTATCTTACCATGAACTACCTTAAAAGATAGTTCATGAAGGTATACTTTCATTTGTCTGATCAAAACTGATGACAAAATCAATACAAACATTCAGTTTGACTCAAGCAGCATAACAATTGATCCTAGTGTAATTTTAAGTAAGTCTGTTTAGAGTTAAGAGTGTAAAATCACAATGGTACACTTCAACCAGTTCAAAGGAGACATCAAAAATATACACTCTCAAATATTTGAGTCATCTGAAAGAGATGGAAGAATTTTCATCATTTAAAAAGTGGCTCAACCACAAATTACGAGAATCCAGTATCCACATTATTAGGGCTGATTAAAGGGGTCCTATTATTCTCTTTGGGGTTGTCCCTTTCCTGTAGTGTGCTACACTCCTAACAACTCAAAAGTAATATAATACGTCATTAACACCATCAAAAATCATATGAAGGTTCAAAGGTTGTAACGTCATATACACAGAAAAACATGGGTCACCGTTTCCTCAAACAATGCAATATAAATATATACAAGACAAAAAACAGATCAAATAAACAGTTAAAAAAGTGCAAGCTCAAGAGTACTTAATCTCGTCATGGAAACATCTCTGCTTCAGCTTCTCAAATGTAATGTTCTGCCTTTCTGTGTTTCTTCATCATTGCAAACGTTGTACTGTTGGTTGGACAAAACAACACATTTAAAAACCTTGGACTCTGTGAACTCATGATGAACATGGAGTACTCTTTCAAAGATCATTAGGCGCTTACACACCGGAGTACTTTTCCCAGGAATAGTTCCGATAGTTCCTGGGATTTTGCGTTCACACCAAAAAGATCTGGAACTAGAACTTTTTTTTGCGAACCTTTTCACCCCTTTTTAGTCCCTGCTAGAGAGGTGGTACTTTCCTGGGGAGGAAAAGGTTCCAATTTTTGATTGGCTGGGCGAATTGCAAACCACGCCCCGTAAAACTCGGAAAGCCACCATTTTATTTGCTCTTATTAGCATTATTAGCATTAGCCCAGCGCAAATGTGTTGCCATAATGTGTTGCCAATAATGCTAATGTTTTGCCATAAGTTATTCTCTCCGTTGGTGCGCGGGGCTAATGCTAATGCTAATGCCACAAATACAATGGCGGCTTCACAAACCTTTTCAGAGTTTTACGGGGCGTGGTTTGCAATTCGCCCAGCCAATAGAAATTGGTACTTTTTTGGTACTTTTTTGGTACCACCTCTCTAGCAGGCACTAAAAATGGGGGTAAAAGTTCCCGGCACTAAGTACTCTTTTTGGTGTGAACGCAACATCAGGGGTACTAACGGAACTAAACGGGAAAAGTACGCGGAAAAGTACTCCGGTGTGAACGTGCCTAATGCCTCACTTCTACTGATTCAGCTGGACATTATCCGCAGAGTAGGAAGGACTCTTATCTGACAGACGTCACCTACTAAATCCAAATAGTTACGTCTGCACGGACAATATTGAAAGTGTATTGGCTATTTTATAATTGCCAGATTGTGCAGGAAGTGCAGTCTTGCACACTTTACAATTTTCTTTGACAAATCATTGGTCTGCAGTTCTAAACAATATCTAAGAAACAAATGCTTTATTTATCAAATTCACAAAAGAAAACAAATTGTGTTTTGTCCAAGGATTCAATCAATGCAACATACAATATAGTTAACATATGAGAAAGAATTAAAAGGTGCAGAAATAAATACTGTAGTAATATCTTTGCGTTGTTCAATTGGCTCAAATCATTTTGAACCAGGTACCGTCCACAAATGTTGCTAATGGAAAACCAAAAAGAGAGTGGAGTCGAGCATCGAGCAGTGGAAATGTGGAATAAATTATGAATGTTATGAACCCATCAATGTTAGTTTCTTAGCTTCAGCTGTGAGAGATCAGAGGTTGTCGAAACAGTTCTGCATGTTTCAATGTGTCTGTCAGTCTGCAGCAGAACTGGCCGCGTTGGTGGCGTTTCTTAAAAAGGCTCCTCTCCCACAACACAGACCACACTGTTCCTCTACCTCCTCGATGCACTGAAAAAAGAGAAAAAACCTGGCACTTCATTAGCGAGCACAGACGGGCGAGTGGGATCGTCCCGTCCCCGGGGAGAGAGGAAGAAGAAGAGCGCCACTAATTAGACATGAGGGGGAGAGACACAGAGCTTTAATTGCACCTCAAACTCAGCCCAAAGCGTTTATTCCTGTGCGCCACTTGTTAAGGTAACAGTCTTTTAAAGGCGAAGTGAGAAAAGTGAGGGAGTGAGTGGTGCTTGGTTTAACCCCCCCACCCTCCTCCATCCTCCATCCTCTGTCACTGTAGCCGCTGTACACTTGGATGTCGTTGCCATGTGTTGCTTTGTAACCTGTGTTGCTTTGGAGAAGGAGGGAGACGTCCATCTGTCTCTGAGAACACAGAACCTGTCGGTGACCTGAAGTCCTCTTTGTTCCTCTCAGGCTGACAGGAGAGATGTTTCAGGCCACCGTGGTTGTGCAAAATACCAGCGAAGATACAATCATGACAGTGCATTCAAATGTTTATGCACATTAAACACAAATCCAAAGTAATTTGCTGTAGAGAAAAGCTGCGACAATCTCTGATGCACTCTCTGAGAACACAGCTCACTGAACCTGTTGGTGACCTCTTTGTTCCTCTCAGGATAACATAAGATACGATGAGATACGATACGATAAGAAGTACTTTATTGATGCCAATTTGGGAAATGTTTGCGTTGCAGCAGCACAAAAAGACATGGCATTATACATAAGAGAAATTAAAAGACTAGAAATAAACAATCCAAAATGTAATCATCTCAAATAGAAATAAAATAGCATTAAAAAAGTAGAAAATATACATGTGGAAATACACATTTACAGTAACAACATATAAAGCAGGATATTATATATACATTAATAGGATAACAGGAAAGATGTTTCAGGCCACCGTGGTTGAACAAAATATCAGCGAAGATACAATCATGCTTTTACATGTGTATGCACGTTAAATACAAATCAGAAAATGTTCCTCGAATGTAACTTGCTGTAGAGAAAAGCTGTGACATTTGGTCTACACATCGAGTGATGGGAAAACATTTTGGCAAGAGAGTTAACATTTTTCATTTTTAATCCAAAAGTCACCCTGTCAAATACAAATATTTCCTGATTTTCTCTGTTTTATATCATACAGAAGGGAATGTTTTGGGGTTTTGGACAAGTCATGTAAAGACATCGCCTTGGACCATGAGAAACTAGGAAGGACATTTTTCTAACTTTATGGACCAAACTGGTTAATCCATAATGGAAATAATTGTTAATTGTTGCCATTTGTAGAGTAATAATCCACTACAGTTCACACATTGAATCTGGCAGTGGCTCAGTCAGTCGGGGCTTGGACTGGGAGCTTTAGGGTCGCCGGTTCAAGTCCCCGACCAGACCTAAAATATGGAGTGTGGACTGCTACTTGGAGAGGTCCCAGTTCACCTCCTGCCCTGCCGTGGTGCCCTTGAGCAAGGCACCGGACACCCCCTTTCCCCTCACTCCCATTGCTCCCCGGGCGCTGTACAATAGCTGCCCACTGCTCCTGGTACTAGACTCCTGGTACTAGACTCCTAGTACTAGACTCCTGGTACTAGACTCCTGGTGCTAGACTCCTAGTACTAGACTCCTAGTACTAGACTCCTGGTACTAGACTCCTGGTACTAGACTCCTAGTACTAGACTCCTGGTACTAGACTCCTAGTACTAGACTCCTAGTACTAGACTCCTGGTACTAGACTCCTAGTACTAGACTCCTGGTACTAGACTCCTAGTACTAGACTCCTAGTGCTAGACTCCTAGTACTAGACTCCTGGTACTAGACTCCTAGTACTAGACTCCTAGTACTAGACTCCTGGTACTAGACTCCTGGTACTAGACTCCTGGTACTAGACTCCTAGTACTAGACTCCTAGTGCTAGACTCCTAGTACTAGACTCCTGGTACTAGACTCCTAGTACTAGACTCCTGGTACTAGACTCCTAGTACTAGACTCCTAGTGCTAGACTCCTAGTACTAGACTCCTGGTACTAGACTCCTAGTACTAGACTCCTGGTACTAGACTCCTGGTACTAGACTCCTGGTACTAGACTCCTAGTACTAGACTCCTGGTACTAGACTCCTGGTACTAGACTCCTGGTACTAGACTCCTGGTACTAGACTCCTAGTACTAGACTCCTAGTGCTAGACTCCTAGTACTAGACTCCTAGTACTAGACTCCTAGTGCTAGACTCCTGGTACTAGACTCCTGGTACTAGACTCCTGGTACTAGACTCCTAGTACTAGACTCCTGGTACTAGACTCCTGGTACTAGACTCCTGGTACTAGACTCCTGGTACTAGGATGGGTTAAAAGCAGAGAACACATGTCACTGTGTGCTGTGTGCTCTGCATGCGAGACCATTAAAGAGGGGTTCATCCCTCCATATTCTATTCTATTGTTACAGTAAAAGTGGCACAGCAGGTAGAAAAGGCATGCAAATAAGCATACTGATATATACAAGAAAAGCACACATCAGTAGATATGTACACATCCATGGTTACAAGTGATGATCAGCAACTTCAGAACTTAGACGTTTGTGTTTTATTTATGTTAATAACCCCCCCCCCCTACAGTAACGGCTCGGCCACCTCGGAGGATTTGTTCTGGAAGCTGGACGCTCTGCAGTCGTTCGTGCTCGACCTCCATTGGCCGGAGCCGGAGTTCGCCAAACATCTGGAGCAGAGGCTGAAGCTGATGGCCAGCGACATGATGGAGGCCTGCGTCAAGAGGTCAGACTGAGGGCTCTTACACCTCTACCAACGCTGAAGTGTACTAAAGATAGTACACAACAATAATAATAATAATACATTTAATTTCAAAGTGATTTTTCAGGTGCTCAAAGACGCTTTACAGTGGTGATAAAACGAGATGAAATAGAATAAAACATGTTAAAACAGCAACACAACATAATTCACAAATTAAAAGCCAGTCTGAAGAGGTGTGTTTTGGTCAGTGTTTTGAAAGTGGGGGGGTCGGTGCAGTCTCTGATGTGTCGTGGAAGGGAGTTCCAGAGGGTGGGGGCAGCGATGGAGAAGGCTCTGTCCCCCCAGGTTCGGAGCTTGGTTCGTGTGGGGATAGAGAGGAGGTTCGCTTCTGATGAACGAAGGCTGCGGGAAGGGGTGTAGTGGTGGATCAGGTTGGTGAGGTAGGGGGGGGGGTGTAGTGGTGGATCAGGTCGGTGAGGTAGGGGGGGGTGTAGTGGTGGATCAGGTCGGTGAGGTAGGGGGGGGTGTAGTGGTGGATCAGGTCGGTGAGGTAGGGGGGGGTGTAGTGGTGGATCAGGTCGGTGAGGTAGGGGGGGGGTGTAGTGGTGGATCAGGTCGGTGAGGTAGGGGGGGGGGGTAGTGGTGGATCAGGTCGGTGAGGGAGGGGGGGGTGTAGTGGTGGATCAGGTCGGTGAGGTAGGGGGGGGGTGTAGTGGTGGATCAGGTCGGTGAGGTAGGGGGGTGTAGTGGTGGATCAGGTCGGTGAGGTAGGGGGGGGCTATTGAGAACTTTATTGTGTTAGCAGAAGGATTTTGAAGAGTATTCGTTGACGGACAGGGAGCCAGTGCAGGTTTTGAAGGACGGGGGTGATGTGGTCTCTGGAGCGGGTGTGGATGAGGAGGCACCTTTTAAATACACATACATGTCTCTTTAGTCGTTAGCGTCTGAGTTTATGACCTCAACAAGCTCAGGTGCAAATCTAGGAAAGTAGTTTCTAACCTTTATTGTCTTCCTATGAAGTGTTAATGATGATGGAAAGCACTTTGAATGTGCTATATAAATTAACGTACCTTACCGAAAGAAACTCATCAATCTCTGAACCATAACCTGCTTTTGTGATGCTTGTCTATGAGTTCTTGAATCAATTCCTAACACTGCAATATTTTTTTTTATGTAGATGTGTAGTAACCGAACAGACTCTCACAAAATGGGTGAGAGTTTAATCAAAATAATTGTAGAATTCTAACATAAAACACACAATATTTAATCTCTCTAAAAAACAAAAGGTGAGTTTTTATTTGAGATTTGAATATAGAGAGTCATGTTTTGGGAGGGACAACACAGTTACCAGGAAATACATGAAGTTGTAGCCATTTGTGAGCAACAACAACAACAACAAACCCTTCTTGTTGTTTTCCCCCACAGAACAAAATCTGCGTTTGATGCCAAAATGCAGAAGGCGTGTAAGTCGACGGACTTCAGGGTGCCGCTGTCCGTCTGCACGATGTTCAACGTGCTGATGGACGCCAAGAAGCAGTGCTCCAAACTCTGCGTGCTGGACACCGGCCAGGAGGTGAGAGGAGGGCACATGGAGGAGACAAGTACGCTTCAGGGTGTGATTACTTTATGTTGCAGTTTGACTTCTAGCTAAAGCTTTTAAAGAAGAAAAGACATCTCCATCTGGGAACTTCAAAATCATGTCCTATTGATCTGTCCCTGCAGGGTCTGCTTCTTGTTGGTGGGACAAACGAGTGTTCGCTGAATATCAGAATACATCCCTTAAAGGTCACCTATCATGCAAAATCCACTTCTTCATCAACATGTGTCCCCTCTTCTTCATGTCTCTTCTACATCAACATGTGTCCCCTCTTCTTCATGTCTCTTCTACATCAACATGTGTCCCCTCTTCTTCATGTCTCTTCTACATCAACATGTGTCCCCCTTCTTCATGTCTCCTCTACATCAACATGAGTCCCCTGCTTCTTCATGTCTCTTCTACATCAACATGTGTCCCCTCTTCTTCATGTCTCTTCTACATCAACATGTGTCCCCTCTTCTTCATGTCTCTTCTTCATCAACATGAGTCCCCTCTTCTTCATGTCTCTTCTACATCAACATGTGTCCCCTCTTCTTCATGTCTCTTCTACATCAACATGTGTCCCCTCTTCTTCATGTCTCTTCTACATCAACATGTGTCCCCTCTTCTTCATGTCTCTTCTACATCAACATGTGTCCCCTCTTCTTCATGTCTCTTCTACATCAACATGTGTCCCCTCTTCTTCATGTCTCTTCTACATCAACATGTGTCCCCTCTTCTTCATGTCTCTTCTACATCAACATGTGTCCCCTCTTCATGTCTCTTCTACATCAACATGTGTCCCCTCTTCTTCATGTCTCTTCTACATCAACATGTGTCCCCTCTTCATGTCTCTTCTACATCAACATGTGTCCCCTCTTCTCCATGTCTCTTCTCCATCAACATGTGTCCCCTCTTCTTCATGTCTCTTCTACATCAACCCGTGTCCCCTCTTCTTCATGTCTCTTCTACATCAACATGGGTCCCCTCTTCTTCATGTCTCTTCTTCATCAACATGTGTCCCCTCTTCTTCATGTCTCTTCTACATCAACATGTGTCCCCTCTTCTTCATGTCTCTTCTACATCAACATGTGTCCCCTCTTCTTCATGTCTCTTCTACATCAACATGTGTCCCCTCTTCTTCACGTCTCTTCTTCATCAACATGTGTCCCCTCTTCTTCATGTCTCTTCTTCATCAACATGTGTCCCCTCTGTGTCAAGAGACTCAGAAAGTTTCAGGAACAAAGATTCTCTCTCTTTTTGTCCTGATCCATTTTTATAAAAACCTGTCTGAAAATGAGCTGATCAGATTTTGGCCACTTTATGATGTCATAACGATGTTTTGTCTTGTGTAACCATTAGCCAATCAGCAACCAAGGTAACCCCCCCCCCCCCCCCCTTATCACCTGAATCTCCTCCTAGAGCACCATTGAGTTCTTTGTAACCAAATCTCTCTCAGAGGGGCGTGGGGAGGGGCTCCTTATTTTCATCTAAAGTAACAGACAGAGAATCAGCACTTTGGAAACAGGGCTGAAACAGAGGGGATTATGGGATGCTGCAATGATCTGTTATACAAAAATACAAACGTCATAGCATAAAAATTATAAAAACATTATACAACAACATGTGATAACAAATCATCAGTGTCTCCCTTATCTTCAGTGAGCAGGTGGAGTGAAGCTGTCCGATCAGCCTATAAAATAAATAATGGATGAAAATCCAAAAGTCACCCTGTCATAAAAAACTAGTTCCTGGTTTTCTCTATTGTATATCATACAGAAGGGAATATGTGTTGGTTTTGGACTGATACAAGACATGTAAAGACATCGCCTTGGACCATGAGAAACTAGGAAGGACATGTTTCACAATGTTCTGACTTTATGGACCAAACTGTTAATCCATAATGGAAATAATTGTTAATTGTTGCCATTTGTAGAGTAATAACCACTACAGTTCAAACATGTTGAGTTAAATGACAGCTTGGTGACCTGAATGTGATATGTATCTGCTAGAAATTGTTTTTTATTAACCATTTAGTCAGAAATAAACCCTCGAAAGCAAAACATTAAAGGTCACCTGTCATGCTATTTGTAGGCAATAGCATCGGTCTCAGATATATACAAATATATAAAAAACATGTCTATGAAGTGTTTTGCTCAAAATACCAAACAGATCACCCATTCTAGCCATGCCTCATATCCCTCTATTTCACTTCCTGTTTCAAAAGTGCTGATTTGGGGTATAAAGCTTTAAAAAAAAAAAAGGAAATTGATAAAAATAAAAAAGTAGGGGTCTGAGCTCATGTGGGACCCGGCAGCTACTGTCTAAACTAAATACTGCCGTGATGAAACGCCATATCATGGATTATCAAGGATTGTTTCTAAAACAGTATGGAGCTCAAAGGCTTTCTCTCTTGCCGGTTATACCACAAGGTGAGTTCCTTTTTATTTCCTGCTTCTTCACACACATGCTCTCCAGTACAGGTTAGCTCTGAGTGTTAGCGATGCTAATGTAAACACCGACCATATTACGTCCAAAACAGTCGGGCATTGTTTCTGATAGCAACTTTCTGATAGGGCCGTGGGTCCACATTTCAGATATTACGTCATATCGGACGCAAATCTGGATCAGCTCCGTTGTAGCCCCGGAAAAAAGAGAGAGGGTTTTATTTTCTGACGCTGCGTGAGTTCCCTGACACACCGGGGACACATCTTTATGTATAAAAGTGCATTTTGCATGATAGGTCCCCTTTAAAGAACATATAATGAAAATGATAGTTACATTTAATTATAGAAGTCATAAAATGAGAAGAAGTTATAATCCTACCCACAGAAGAAAGAAGGTTATGCATGGTTTGGAGAATCACCAGCAGTAAATAAACTAGTTTAGGGTAAGAAGTGTTTGTAGTCAACAGGTCCGTATTAAAGTTTCAGAATCAGACATCCTTTATTAGATCAGCCCCTATAAACGGGATGATCCCCCCCGTCACCAGCGGACAGTCGCTGTGTTTGTGTTCTCTGCTCGAGCTGATAAATGGATGACCGTGAAAAGTGTGTGTGTGTGTGTGTGTGTGTGTGTGTGTGTGTGTGTGTGTGTGTGTGTGTGTGTGTGTGTGTGTGTGTGTGGTGTGTGTGTTGTGTGTGTGTGGTGTGTGTGTGTGTGTGTGTGTGTGTGTGTGTGTGTGTGTGTGTGGTGTGTAGTGTGTGTGTGTGGTGTGTGTGTGTGTGTTGTGTGTGTGTGTGTGTGTGTGTGTGTGTGTGTGTGTGTGTGTGTGTGTTGTGTGTGTGTGTGTGTGTGTGAGTGTGTGTGTGTGTGTGTGTGTGTGTGTGTCCTTGGCGTCTCTGAGAGTGAAACCCTTGGCCGCAGACGGTCCTGACAGAGATCTAAGCTCGCTGCTCTCTTGACCTTCAGCTTCTTTCTTCACCAGCCTCCAACATGCCAGCGCCACTCAGAGAACACCTCCATCCGTCCATTTAATCCTTCTCACACACTCAATACCTGCCTGCAGAAGGATACTCCAGCTCTATACACACACAAAGCATCCACACACACACACACACACACTGGTTCGAGTGTTAGACTAGACAGAATCAGACAAAAATGAAATACATAATAAAGTCGTACATTAAAGAAGAGACACTACATACTGATATACACCTGAACATCAGCAGGAGAGGACTCTTTAAAGTAGAGACACTACATACTGATATACACCTGAACATCAGCAGGAGAGGACTCTTTAAAGTAGAGACACTACATACTGATATACACCTGAACATCAGCAGGAGAGGACTCTTTAAAGTAGAGACACTACATACTGATATACACCTGAACATCAGCAGGAGAGGACTCTTTAAAGTAGAGACACTACATACTGATATACACCTGAACATCAGCAGGAGAGGACTCTTTAAAGTAGAGACACTACATACTGATATACACCTGAACATCAGCAGGAGAGGACTCTTTAAAGTAGAGACACTACATACTGATATACACCTGAACATCAGCAGGAGAGGACTCTTTAAAGTAGAGACACTACATACTGATATACACCTGAACATCAGCAGGAGAGGACTCTTTAAAGTAGAGACACTACATACTGATATACACCTGAACATCAGCAGGAGAGGACTCTTTAAAGTAGAGACACTACATACTGATATACACCTGAACATCAGCAGGAGAGGACTCTTTAAAGTAGAGACACTACATACTGATATACACCTGAACATCAGCAGGAGAGGACTCTTTAAAGTAGAGACACTACATACTGATATACACCTGAACATCAGCAGGAGAGGACTCTTTAAAGTAGAGACACTACATACTGATATACACCTGAACATCAGCAGGAGAGGACTCTTTAAAGTAGAGACACTACATACTGATATACACCTGAACATCAGCAGGAGAGGACTCTTTAAAGTAGAGACACTAAATACTGATATACACCTGAACATCAGCAGGAGAGGACTCTTTAAAGTAGAGACACTACATACTGATATACACCTGAACATCAGCAGGAGAGGACTCTTTAAAGTAGAGACACTACATACTGATATACACCTGAACATCAGCAGGAGAGGACTCTTTAAAGAGATCAGATATTTACATTGAACAAATAATTGAGTGATGGTAAAGAACCAAGTAACGAGAGTAAAGATTTAAAATCCAGAATCAACAAGCTGAGCGTTTTGTAAGGGACACATTGTGTGGAGTACAAACTGATTTCATGAATTCCCTCTGAGTTTCCAAACACAACACGCCTCCGTTTGACCTTGTTGTCGCAGTAAATGTTTGATTCAGTTCGTCAGGCTGAACTCTGAGAGAATAACCTTGAGGATTAAATGTTCTCAGGAGTTCTCAAAAGGCAAAACAAGCTTTTACAACCCGTCTGCTTTCTGCTCGTTTCACAGCCAACAATCAGAGATACGTTAGGAGTCTCACTTATAATTGATTTTATAACTCAAATCTGACAATTACTCATTCTTGTTCAATGTGATATTAAAATGGGTCTTGAATTTTTTATTTAAAGGTTAAAACTATGATGGAAATGGAAAGGAGTTGTAACTCCATCTCATAGTTCTGTGGGCAAAGCTCTCAAGTTTTATTTCCTTATGTTCTCCTTAATATTCTAATTCAAAGTTTAGATGTTTTTAAATGTCCCTGATGTGTTGTTAAATAACGGTTTTCCTCCTTTTTTCCTCCTCGTCCCTCATGTCCATCCTCGTCATTGTTTGAATCCCAGATTGACAAACAATGGGTAAGTCCGTCCATCACCTCAAAATGTCTTTCCTGTCACACTTCTCCACATGAGCTCCACCTGGCCTTGTTTTCTTATCTTACCACATGTCAATAAACACATCCCAACTCATCAATCAAACTGAATATCACAAAGACTTTCATTTTAGATGTTTTAATCTCAAAATGGAGACTTCGCAAAGGCAGTGGGTCAACTGGTGGTCCTGGAGAGATTCGACGTGTTTCCACACTTTTCCACACCTGAATAACTCTTGATTTGCTGAAAGCCCCTTAACTAGTTAATCAGATGTAGATAATAAAGAAGACAAATGTAAAAACATGCAGTTCTTTCCCCTCCAAGACTTAGTGGAAGACTGCAGTAAAGCGTCATATCATCTGCATACAGGGAAACCCTACAAATGCAGGTCCTTACACACCAAGCCGATTTTCGGCGTCGATAGATGTCTGGCCGTCGATGAGCGTCCTGTCGCCCTACTCAGATTGGTGTGTCCCGCCCCGTCGTGTCTTTTTGGCCGTGTCGACACCTTCCGCCGCCGATTCGACATGACGCGAATCAGTGCATGAGAAGCGAAACGGAAGTGAGGGACCCAAGCAAACTATTAAGAAGACAAATGTGAGATTTCATTTAACTCCAGCTCTCGACACAGGTTCGGGAAAGCCCCATGAGCTTCTCGCTGTAGAGTGAACATGGAACGCACACGCTATTTGTTGTTTGTTTATATCACGCAGTCTGTTCTTCTTCTCTCGGTGTATCACGCAGTCTGTCTTCCGGTTGTTGCCTCTTTTGAATGACGAATACACACTACCGCCACCTGCTGGTAAGGAGAGTTATTGCCGTGCGCAGTTCGTACGTGCTACTTGGCCGTCGGCTGAAGTCTTTGCGGTGTGTTCCAGTGCGACTGTTGGCCAAGACGCAGGAGACGTGAGGCGACACAACAGTCGGGTCCGTCGGGACGTGTTCTTTGGTGTCAGGTTGGTGTGTCAGGACCTTAATATGTTATATGTAGAAGCTTAAGGAAACTTCTTAGACTTAAAGAACGAGAAATCTCTCTAAACAATGAGCAGACATCGAGCTTTGTCTTCTAAAAGGTTTATATCTTGGGGAAACATTTTCACCTGAAGCAGTTCCACGTCATCTACATTTAAATCATGGCAGTTTCGTTGTCGTCTCTTTCCTTCTTCTGGGTGTTTCAACCCTTCTTGGTTCATTGTTAGCACAGAGGAAGCAGAGCAGGGATTGTTCACTCATATATTAAATCATTATTCTAACCCAAACCCTCACCTTTTCTGTGTGACGTAGGATACTTTCTTACCCTTGTTCATATTTATAGCATTTGGCATGTCTTAAAGTCCCTTGCCTCATTAGAAACACTTTGACACCATGGTTGGTTATTATTGAGCTAACTTAAATATATATTTGAGGTTCTGCATAAACCGATATGTCCTTAATACTTTACAGCGTTATCACTGGAACACTTATAAGCCACTTCCAAACGTAGACATCTACTCTGAGAGGAACATTTCCAACAAGGCTACAGGTCTCCTTTCTGCACATTATACAGTCTGGACATATGGTTTTCATTTAGATACGAGGAGGAAGCAGCGCTGCTTCATTTGAATGCCCATATGTTGTTGTACAGAATGCTTGCAAGCTTCGATCAAATAATTGGCTCGGATTTAAAGTGCCATATGTGCGAAATGAGACTAGAAAGAAAATGTATGTTACTTTGGCCGTTAGTGTTGGAATAACCTTCAAATAATAAGCACAATATAGAATGTGCATTATGGGTCCTCTTTAAACCTCTTCTGTCATATTTTACTCTGCTGTTCTGTATGTTAACGAATCGATGTGATTGACGTGTGCCTGAAATCCCACTTGTACAAGAGAGTTAATCCAAGTGGTTATAATGACTTTAATATCTATAAAACCCTTTATGCTGGTTTTATCTTGTTAAATGCAACCATAAAAGCATGTAGCCTTCAGCGAGCCGTTTGAATTCAGCAGGGTTCTTTCTCCGTGCTCTTTAAACATCACTTGATTCTCCTGAATGCGGTTCAGTGGATGCAGCTTGTGCTCACTTGGCGGTGGGTGTTGTGAAAGAGGCCTCCTGACCTCTGACCCCTGACAGTCTGAAGGCTCTCAGAGACGTCACGGCAGACCTTTAGTGCGGTCAGTTTTTCTGCAACTAGCTGCGATAGAGCGTCCCATCTGCAGCGAATCCTTTCTGGCAACAAAATCCTGCTGGCGTTCCTCAATCACACCTCTTGGTTTTGACGGAGAATGCTTCCAGATTGTTCCAGTTCAACGGGCAGGACTGTGAATAATCTGCTCTTGACAGTTCAATACGGACATTAAACTCCTGGATTCATGAATTCTCCTTTTATACACTGCGGTAATCAGCGTTAATCAATGAACATGCTAATGAGTGTGCTGTCTTTTTGTCGCTGAGGTGATTTGAATAGCGACGGCGTGGGGAAGGGGGGGGGGGGGGGGGGGATGTGACCCGGTTGCAGAATCTAAAACATCTCACAGAGCTGAAGGAGCAGCGGCAACGAGCAGATAAATGTTTTTAAAAGCTCTAATTGTCCTTTTCACTATTTCCCCGAGCACATGGCAAAGACCAAACTATTTCTCTACTGTTTTACGGGCGGGGGGGGGGGGGGGGGCTTTTGTAGGAATAAAGCAGCGATGTTAATTGAGGTAAGAAGAGAGGAAAAAATAAAAAGATCTGCAGGAAGATGGGCGCGCTGAAAGCCATTTTGCGGACTTGTGGAGAGGGGGGGGGAACAAAATGAGGGCTGTCGGCTCTGACCTCACAGGACCCGCAATTTGTCAGCGATCTGTACGCTTTGTTGATTGAAATTTTTAATTTGGGTGTTCTTTAGACGGCCAGTGAAAGGGCATTGTCGCCCAGAGATGAACTCCCCTGCTGCTGCCGCCATTCAGCCCGCAGCCCCAGCCTTTTTATTTTTTATCCTTCAAGGGAAAAGGTGCCATGAATATGTTTTCAGGGGGGGGGCCAAACGAGACATGAAATGGCGGATTAATTGAATCTTGTGTGAGCCTTTGGTCCTCGCAGCTGGACCGGTGCTTTAGAGCAATACAAGGCTGCTCTAATTGTAGGGAGACGCACAAAAAGTATCCTTCAGATTCCTTCGCTTTTTCCAGCGCGGACGGGAATGTCATTCAGACGCTGAATGGTCCTATTAGCTGCTTAACTCAGCGGAGGGGCACGGATGGGGAGGTTTGTCACGGGAGGTGTGAGAGTGTGTGTGTGTGTGTGTGAAGACTTGATGTTCATTGTAGGTTTCTCCTTTCTGTCTCTTACAGAACAGACAAAGCTGTACTTCTGTCTCAGGAGGCGAGGAGTCACTTCGACTTTCTGTGTGTCTTTCTAGAAATAATAAAATATAGCTTTTTGTCCCCCCCCCCCTCCTCCCCCCCAAGCAACAATACCACTCCAAAATCGATGTTCTGATCGACGAGGCGTTCAAAGACATGCTTTCCTCCCTGGTCACAAAGGTACATTTCTTTCCAATCAAATCCTCTCTCATGCTGTTTACACCGGGCTTTCTTTTGTTTGTGTTTTCTTTTTCCATGCAGGCGGAGTGGGGTCACACCTTACCCTTTCTTTTTGTTATTTAGTTATTATTCTATTCTTTTGAGACATGTTTTATTTTTCCACTTCTTTTTTAAAAGCCTTACACTTTGCTAGAAAAGATGATGGATTTAACACTTTCTATTCTGATTTCATTTTTCCGTATCCGTTCGTTTGTTGCAACATGTTATTAGACACATGTATTATATCCTATATTATATATATATACTCTTATGAATGTTTTTAAATTTGTAAATGTTCTGCTTTATTTCATCATTTGTATTATAATCATTGTTGGTCACTTTTTATTCTGATATTAAATCATATTTATCCATTTGTTCATTTTCTATTTGTCTTGTAATTATTATTATTATTATCAGTATATTATTAATATTATTATCCATGTTTTCTTTTATTTACAGCTTTATTTTTTGTGGTCAAGGTTTAATCTATTTATTTGTATGTTGTGATTAAATTGTATTTGTCGTGCATTATACAAATAACATGTTCTAATAAAACGTATATTTTCTTTACTGTATCTTAACCACTGACTGAATGATGCTTTGTTGCACTAAAAAAACTATAAACTCTAAAGAAAAATTCTCAAATAATTCTGATTGCATTGTTTAATTTTCTCAAATCTTAATAACAGTAACATGAGATTGTTTGGTTGAAAAGCGTCCAGCAGAATAAGAGCATTAACGGTTGTTGTGTCTGCCCCTCTGCAGTTCGCCGCTGTTTTAGACGGCGTCCTCTCCAAACTCTCCAGATACGATGAAGGCACATTCTTCTCCTCAATCCTCTCTTTCACAGTGAGTACGCTCCTTTTTGTCCCCGCGAACACAGAGAGCCGATTCTTTCTCCGACTCTCTGAGGAAACCTGTTATTTGCTGGAAACCAGATCTCAGCTGAACTCCAGTGTCTTCCTCACCTTCTCCTCCTCCTCCTCCTCCCCCTCTGAAAGGTGAAAGCAGCTGCCAAATATGTGGAGGTCCCCGTGAGTCCCGCTGTTTTATTCTTCACCCTGTCCATCATTTTTTTTTTCCATATCGCTGTGTTTCCGTGCGCTTTCACGCAGTCGAAGAAAAGCAGCCTGGAAATGCAAAACCGTTTTTCTTTGCATTCGCTCATCGTGCCGTGTTTAACATGTGTGAAAGATAAAGAGGGGTTTTTTATTCCGAGCCAAAGATCACACAACAAGTCTTAATTAATTGCACTCTCGTCCTTGGAGATGTGTTTTGCTGAAGTGTCGCTTTGTGGGCGGCAAAGCGTTTAATGAGCGGCGGCGAATGGGCAGAGATCAGAGGAGTTAAAGTGTGGAGGTGACGAGGCGTTCAGGGTGTGAAGGAGAGAGTGGGTTATCTCCACAATTAGATCATGGTGACCGCTCATTTCCTAAAGCAGCGATTAACAATTCCTCTGAGATTCTTACTTCTTCCATTGTTCTGTTTTATGAATGCTGGCAGTTTTAAAAGCGTCCACTGGGATTAAATATATTCAAACCTCTCAGGCTTCAATCCAAAAGCAACGTGACTACAAGAAGACGGAGGAAAGGGAACACATTTCCTGTCTTCCTCTGAGGAGTTTGGCTGTAAATGAAATGTTTCTGAAGACTATTCTGAGAGCTCGGATATAGCAGAAGTTGATATTCATGCGATCAGAAGAACATTTGAATGTAAATGCATGCCCTTCAGAGTTCTGCCATCCTCATGAAAAGCTCTGTTAGTGTGGAGGTGATGCTGAAGTGATATTAGGATGATGTATTCACTTTATCTGAAGTTGCCTTTGCTAAAAAAAACAGGGCTGAAACTCAGATGTGAGAAACTCTGAGTCACTGAACAGCTGACAACAACATCTCACCTCCTTAATCCTCGGCCCCGCCCACATATCCCATCATGCTCTCTGGTTCCCGTCCAGACTTCCCTTCTACCCTGAAATTATAACGTAACCGCTACCATGGCCTTTTTGGTCTTTTGTGTGGAGGGAACCTGACGCGGGTAATCCGCTTTTAATCCCAGGTGAGGTGGTGAGCAGGTGGGCGGGGCTTCTGAGGTTGGCTCCGCCCCCAACAGCTTTTCACAAAAACAGGACGCTTTTTCCCCCCGAGGGTTTTCAATTTAGAGACTTTTATTTCTCTGTATTTAATGAGGGAAATACCTGTTTTTTTATTTATCGAACAACTGCAACTGATGTATTTATGCCTTTTATATCTGACTTATAATACGAGTGGCTGTTTGAACGCTAACTTTTAATTTATTCCACCACAAAAAGGACATTCATAATGATGAAATAGTTCAGTGGTAAAGCTGAGCCTTGGTTAAAACTCACATGTTTTTATACCTTTTATAATTGTATTAATTTGGTGTAAATTGACCAGTTTTTAACATTTCACTTCATTCATGTTTTCTACGGTGACAAGCAGGTGCAACCAGCCCGAAACATTTCCATTACCGGAAACACACTGCAGCTTCAGAAACGATGCAAATATAAAAACACAATTGTGCCAAAACACATGTAATTTAAGAAACATCTTTACTAGAAGTGCACCAGAAACAAAACGCCGTACCAGGGGGACACTAAAGCGTGACTTCAACAGCTGAGCCCGGAGCACTTGGTGACGTTTGGGGTTATAAAGTTGGCCATACTATCAGGAGGAATCATGTGTGAGGTGTGAAAACCATTCAAATCACATGTGCGTTTTCCAACATTTTAAACACCTTTGAAATTAAATTGTTCACATTTCCAAAAAATACATTTGACCTAAGTCCAAGGGTAAAATAAAGCAACACGGTTAACCTACAAAATCCTTTAACGTGTGAAATATACAAGTCACTTTGGGACATATCTGCAAACAAAACACATTAAAAAAAGAATAAAAGAATATTTGCTTGGAAAAAATAAATATATCTTGTGTTATTTTAATGAATGTCAAATCCCCCCATAATGGATCAACAGAAAACCAGCAAATGTATATTTTCATTATTGTTTAATCATCAAAAATACCCCAAAAGGATCTGGTTCATCTTGTTCAAATATGTTCTGTTGCTCTTCATTAATAATCACATATTCAATATTTATAAGCCGTTTTTTTAAGGCTCTCTATTAATGCATCATAAACATTGTTCCCGGGTTCATTTGGATAATATCGGGACTTGTTGCCGTGCCGTGCCAGCACTTATACGTGTACACACGCACCGTGCACCTGGCAGAAATGAAATGAATCCAGGGCAGGAAAGGAGGCCGGTAACAGTGTGTAATTACCTGGCATTTCACTGCCTCCCCCTCCTCACCCACAAACCGCTCATTACCAACGGGCCTAACCCCTCCCTGTCTGTATCCGAACACGAACACGTCTTCATTTTACACACTCTATTTTTTCTTCTTCGTTGTTGTCAAATGTTGACGGGCATCCAGGTGGCCATTATCCCGCGGCGGAGGGGATTACTGGTGTTTGGCTACAGTGCAGAAGACCAAACAGAAAGAGAGGGCAGAGCGTGACAAGAGCTCCGAGCCGCTCGTATCTTTTGTTTTTTCTCTTTCCTCTTCGTGTTAAAGTCTTAATCTCAGTGGCTGGAACTGTGCCGGCGTCTCCGATCTGTCACGCCGCTTTGTCACCTCGTCTGAGCGAGAGAAAGGAGAGGTAAATGATTGAGACTAAGCCTTAAGGGGAAATTGATGTCTCCAATGACAACAAGGGCAGTAATATGTTGCCAGTGGCACACACACACACACACACACACACACACACACACACACACACACACACACACACACACACACACACACACACACACACACACACACACACACAATCAGGAATGTTGCACTACAGATTTCTCTCCTGCTTTGACCCTGTTCACACTTGTGCGGATATGTTTTTAAAAGTTGATCTCCCTCACTCCTTCCTCCTGTACTTGTTGGAAAGTGGTGGATGGGGTTGAGGTCAGCGATGTGCAGGCTACTCAATTCCCTCCAAACCAAATCTGGTAAAACCTTTTTTTTTCTTTTTGCTATCTTTGTGCACGGTGCGTCAAAGTAGGAAACACAATGTTGTTTAAAATATCATCTCATAGAGCAGCATTTAGATTGAACTAAGATGTCAGAGGGTCATAGAGTTCAAGTTTGATTTCCTACTGTTGCCAAGTCAATGTTTTGTCTCACCTGAAACACGCCTGCTTTAGAAACATCAAATCCATCCTCTTTGCCAAGAAAGCCTGTCAAATACTTTACGGTTTGGTTATTCCTCGGCTGATCCTCTCCGTATTTCAGCCTCAAACTTGCTTTCACAGCAACCGATGACAAACCCGTTACGACCAGTTTAGCAACTTGCATAATAAAGTTTGACTGTTTTCCTTTTTGAACTATAATAACGATTGCTAATTTCCCCGTCTGCCAATGTTATAATTGCTAATCAGCTATTACCTGTAGTATGGTCTTGGACAGGAGTCTTCCTGCTTATCTTAATCCACTACAAAGTCATGTCTAGAGTTGGCAGATTGAAGACAACTTTCTAATTCCATCTTCAAATGTGGCTTGGCAAGTCTCATGGACTGTCCTTTGCAAGCACCTTGATTGATCCAGGGATAGTTCATTCGTTGACCTGGTGCCACATGAGGCCAAAGAAGACTGAATTTCTACGCTGATATCTACGGCTGTATGTCCACTATCCACCACCTGGGTATCGGTTGAATCTGGTTGGGAATGCTGGCAGGAAAATCTGATACATCAAAGCCTAAGGCGATCTTTAGTTCTTTAGGTTTTTATTTTGCGACATTGGAAACTTAGGGTTAGGGTTAAGGCTTGTTTGGAGTTGTTGCCAAAAGGTCATATGGGCATGTTGTGTTAGCAATTCCAGAATCCACTGGTGGAAAGATGTTGTGAAGGATAATTATTTTCTTTGGGTCAAGGAGATTCCTGAATCAGCAGTGGACAAAAACTCCAAGAATCAGGACTCACGAATATTGGAAAGGTGGTAGAGTCTAAAGCCCAGTACATACTCTCGGTGTAGAGAGTTCAATTCATACTACAATTGAGACAATCAGTACGTCATTCCACCAGTGCACACCGATCCACCCTCCGCAATACGTTGTTTGTCAGGAGTTCAATGGCATATCATTCCTTTAAAGACGCGTTATATTCATGCTGTTAACGGCAGTATCGGCAAATGTGCTTACACAACTGTTCTTGAATCAAATCAATAAGTTTGTTATATTACTTCGGTCAGCAGTTCTCCGAAGGGAACAGTTCTTGCCAGTTCTTGATTAGTCACTAATGGTCATGGCTGATGAAGTCATTTGCATCACAAGGATTATAAACGGACCATCGCAGACACACGGACATTGAAAGTGTAAATTGGACTTTAATATGCAACGAGATAACGGCTCGGATTATCTACCAATACTGAAGATTTGAATCGTCAACATACCACTGCAACTCCTCTAGGGTCTGAAGTGTGGATGGAAAACTTGATGAGGAAGAGTCGCTAGTTGTGGGTAGAAACCCCCCTGACATTCAAACACAGTTCTGAAATGTACCTGCATCATTGTGGACGTGACCTGGAAGCGTCTGCTGGATCAGATCAGAGACTTCATGACGAGTCCTGAAACAAACAGGCTTCAGATTCACCGGGTTCATTCTCCTCAAGATTTCTGAGCTTCATTCGACAATCATACTCGATCTGGGACTCCAGAGCATTATGGGGATTCTGACAGGCCTGTCAATCACAGAGCCTCCCCCTCCTCTCTCTGGTTGAACAATACACTCACACCACACCACACCCCCCCCCCTCTTTTCATACACACACACTCAGACTCCAGGTGCCCTTGCAGCCATGTGACCCCACTTTAACCTCTGGTATCTGCAGGTTTTCTTGTCTGTCTGAATCACAGCTGAGCGTCTCTGACTGATCTCAGTCTGTCGCTTGCTGTTCCAGACCTCTGAACGCTGCTGCTGCTGCTGAGACCCTTTTGATCAGGAAATATTGAACAGAAATCATAACATTTATGTACGGCTGCAACATGCAATTGGTTTCATTACAGATTATTTATCAAATGAATCGTTTGGTCTATAAAATGTTAGAAAATAGTGGAACATGTCCGAACCAGATCCTTCAAAATCAATGTCTTTAAATGTTCTGCTTTGCCAGTCGAAAAACGAATTTACTTTAATATTATATAAAACTGAAAAAGCAGGAAATCCCTATATTTGCAACACTGAGACAGCACTTTAATTACATGATAAAATGATCCAAATGTTGTTTAGGATTGTACTGACAGTCGACTAATGGTTGCAGCTCTATATTGAATAAGTGTTGGTGTGTTTACTTGAGAAATTCCTTTTAAAAGAAACGGTCTTGAAGTCTTGAAGGCAAAAGGGAGTGTTGCCCTGACAGCAGGTATTTCTTTAAAAAAAATGGTTTATCAATATAGCTTTCATCAAAGTTTCTGTCAATCGACTAATGGTTGCAGCTCTTCATTGAAGAAGTCTTGGTGCATGGAGACAACATTTATTTAAGCGTACTATTGCAGACAAAGTACATTTGATGCTTTTTGATTTGCACCAAGAATAAACAAATGTGTCTAATAGTTCGTCCCTTTACGATGTGTGGCGAATCGTCTGTAAACTTCCTGCTAAACTTCCAGCTGCCTCTGCTCTTCAAACCAAAGTGAAGGAGGTGTTGACATCCAGCTCTTTTCTCCAACATTAGCATGTGACAGTTTGAGTTTCTTTAGTGTTGTCTCTCAGACGAGCAAAAGGTCACAATCCCAAATTCATAATCAGCCTCCAACCTGCCTTTTAGCCTCTAAGTGAAGCCAAAAGGTTTCTGGGTTTTTCTCCGAGGCTCCATTTCCTTGTGTTTCCACGGGGGGATCTGACAGCAGAACAACAGCCCCCCCGGGGGGAAGGACGCACGCCGGCTCAGAGAAAACGGGTGTGAAAGATGTCAAAGCAATTACAATAAGCATTACAGTTGTAATCTCCCCTGACAACAGGGAGTGTGAATGAGCAGGTTCACACACTGCTGCCTCTCCCAGCCACACACACACTTCAGAAGCTTCTTGATACTCCAAACACGGAGGAAGTGGTTTTATTTGCTTCTTCTTTTCACCAGGCACTCAGCGGGAGATGCTGAACATTTGTTGTGTTTTCACAGTTTACCAGAGTTTGCCTTAATGACAACCAGTGGGGGGGGGAAGTACATGTACCTAAGAACAGTACTTGAGTACAATTTTGAGGTACTTCCTTTACTTGAGTAGTTCCATTTTCCACATTATACTTCTCCACAGTTCAGAGGCAAACGTTTGAGTTTTACTCGGTAATTGTTATCGCAGATCAGTAGAGACACAATGAGTCCGTCAAGTCACGTCTTGTTCTTCAGAGTTTGATAAATACTGAGTTGTTTCATTGACATTGAAATACTTGCCTGTATTTGCTTTCTGAGTGTGTCAACTGACAAAACATATTCTTCTACTGGCTATGAAGTGAGGCTCTGAGGTTAGGTGTTGCTTTTATTCAGTCTTTATATATTTCACATTGAACGAGTTATGGTCACTTTATTTAAGAGCCTTACTTTATCACCAATTTCCCGTAGTTTTGTCAAATGTCTTTTATAATAGATTTTTTTAAATCTCCATTGGTTGATTGTTTGTTGGTCCGATAGCCGGGTAAGATATCTGTCTCTTGACGTAGGAAACCGCCAATGACACGGCGTAGAAATGGCATTATCATCAGGGGGTTTGTTCCATCATCACCTTCTCCTGTGATATCATTGACGATCAGCATGGACGAAGCTTTGCACGATGAATGCCAGGCATGATCATTTCCACCACCAGGCTGAACACACTGCATGTTTGACATCGTTCTTCGTGTCCTGCCTCCTCCTCCTCCCTGCAGTTCTTCTTCAGGTGTGTGTGTCCTCTCTCCTGCAGAAACCAGGCATGGATCTGGCCGACACCTACATCACCTTCATCCGGCAGAACCAGGACATCCTGCGGGACCGCGTCAACGACGAGCTGTACACCGAGAAGGTGTTCGAGGTGAGTCTAAAACACAGCCGGTTTACCGCAACCTAGGTCATACTTTTGGAGTTCTATTGGTTATAATAACGTTGTGTTACGATGTTTATACCTGAGATAATATCACTAAGAGAAATCTAACTTGAAGCAACACACAGTTCATCAAGTTTATCTAAAGCATTTTGATTGGGGAGAAACCCAAAAATGACTGACGTATTTAATGTAGTAAAACAAAACGTTCAAATCTCTTGATTGGTGTAACCACAGGCTAACAACCAATCAGAGCGTCAGGACACAAAAACGGTTACAGTTTATTCTCCAGGCATGATCACATAAGAGCTGTTCAGGGCCTTGTCTGACGAAACCTTCCTCAGATAAACAATGCAGAAACACAAATACTTTTCTCTCAAGATATCTCAACACAAATCTTTCGTTAGGCTTTTTATACTCAACGTTTTAAAAGCTGAACAAACAAATCTTTGCTTCAGTTTTTCATTCATTTCTAGGTTATTTCACTCAGACAAGTTGATCATCAGAAAGCATTGTACTGTATCTCGCTCTGAAGCCGAGTAAACTGTCATGGTGGGAGTGTGACCGACGGACGGACCAACGTTCGCAGTAAACTTTCGAATCAGCAGTGAGTTGAATAGCCGCTATGAGCGTGTATCAAACAAGACGTCTATGTTTATGTTTTCTTGACAGGTAGCGTTGTGTGTTTGTGTGAATAATAACTCAATTAAATGTCAACTTCACATGTACCTGCTGCAGGTAAACACACTTATCTTAATCCTGAGTGTAAGTTGTAATTGATGTTGACTCCAGTTAAAGCATCATTACCGCCACCAAGGAGGTCGTGTTTTCTGTTCAGGTAGTTAGTTTTAAGCAGGATAAAAGGGAAACTGGCCTGATTTACAGGAAGCTAATCAAAGGGTAATGGGCCAAGGAAGAACAAGGGATCATTTGCGGCGAGGCGGCCATTACAAGTTTCATGCTCTCCACAAATATAAAAATGATATTCAAAAAATATTCCACAGTGTTTTCTGAAGGATAATAAAATGGCCCGGACTTCTTCTGTGGATTGATTGGACTGCACATAGTCCCTTGATCCTCCTTAGCAACAGTCTGTTATCCTTAGCAACGATCTGTTAGCAGAAATTAGCAGTCTCTGTAATGTTAAAATTGACCAATCAGAATGGAGTATTCAACTAAGCCCTGTAAAAATAATGGCACAAATCAAATAAAAGCATTTGTCCGATTTTGAACTATTTAAAACAAATGGAGGACATTTTGACGATAATGTTTTACTGAATCAGATCTTTTCATACGCAGTCGCTGCCTGTCTAGAAAGCCCACCTTGCTGATAGAGACCTCCACACACACATGCACTTCTCACACACAGCGAGGTGTGTGTGTTCTCTCAGAGCTTTCATTGTGCCGCAGCAGCAGGTCGCTGTGAGCTGAAAACACACCGCTTCTGTTGACCTGTTTATCACTTAGGAACCACCGAGAGCCGCCTGCACACACACACACACACACACACACACACACACACACACACACACACACACACACACACCTCCACCTAAACACCCATCGTCCATCCCACACCGTCCCTCTTCCTCACACACTACCTCTCTCCAGGATTCAGATTTATAAAAATATTTCCAAACATGCCCCATCTCTCCGCCGTGCATCAAAGCAGCGGACATGGCGGCTCAGAGCCTCGAACACATTAGCAGCACCAAGCCGAGCGATGGATTTCTGCCACCCGCCGCCTCCTGAGGGTTCAGAGCGTTGTAGCCGAGGTGTGTGGTGTGTGTGTGTGTGTGTGTGTGGTGTGTGTGTGTGTGTGTGTGTGTGTGTGTGTGTGTGTGTGTGTGTGTGTGTGTGTGTGTGTGTGTGTGTGTGTGTGTGTGTGTGTGTGTGTGTGTGTGTGTGTGTGTGTGTGTGTGTGTGTGGTGTGTGTGTGTGTGTGTGTGTGTGTGTGTGTGTGTGTGTGTGTGTGTGTGTGTGTGTGTGTGTGTGTGGAGAATGAGTCTAATGGAGCTCAGAGGCGGCCAGTCATGCACCGAGGAGGAGCCGACGCTGGGCCTCCAAACGTCTCAGCCTTTCAACGTGAAACACACACACACATCCCTGATGTGTTGAATCGTAATTGACAGCCTGTATATTCTTGGCTGTAAACAAAGACATCTTTAAAGTCTTTATTCTCTTCTCCTTTTTGTCCTAAATTTCAACAAACGACAACATTCCTACCACGCTGTTTCCAAAAGGATTTACACTAATATGTCTGCATTTCTATGCCGTGCACTCTCCGATCAACGTTACATTCCCACACATGACATTTTGCTTCTCTGCGCCAAAAATATGATTTAGCAAAAAGAAAATGTTAATACTGGTCTGACATATTTTAGGACCATATTATTAAATGTTATCCTGTACTAACCTACCCTGCAAAGAATGCTGCTTACATCCTCATTCCCCGATACAAAGACAACTTTAAAGGCCCTCTGTACACACACACACACACACATACACACACACACACACACACACACACACACACACACACACACACACACACACACACAGAAAGTAAATCTTGTGTTGAGACAGCAGCATCAGGCCTCCAGCCAGGTGCATTATGGGTATGCAATTGTCTTGTTTACGTGCGTCTGAGCAAGTCAAATTCATGATGGAGCCTTTTCTTCAAGCAGGAGGTTTATCAACACAGGCGGAGGTAGAGTAGACAAAAGAGTGTGTTTGAGGGGTGTGTGTGTGTGTGTGTGTGTGAGGGTGTGTGTGTGTGTGTGTGTGAGGGTGTGTGTGTGTGTGTTGAGGGGGGGTCTCTGCACGCAGCTGTAAACACTTTTTTCTGTGTGTGCATGCTCACATGTGCCTCTCCATCTATTTGTGTACAAGTGCTCACCAGGGAACGTCTTTGTGTGGATAAGGAGTGTAATGCATGCCCTCACACACACACACACACACACACACACACACACACACACACACACACACACACACACACACACACACACACACACACATTAGCAGCCAGATCACCTTAATGAAGCGTTTTAGAGGACAAACCTGCAGGCTGTCAAAGAACATAAATAAACCAGATGTCGTAGAATCCCAAATTCAGTCTTTTTTGATCAACAAGATCAAATATTTGAAGTTTTTTTTATTGTTGCAGGTTTATTTATAAAAAAAATGATATCTTGGCTCAATAATAAAGGAAAAGACCTTTAAGAATTACAAATATCATCTTAGTTTTTCTTTTTAGAAAATAAATCATTTTAGCAATGAGTGTTTTTTTGTTGCTCAAAGACGAATCCTTTTATTATCCGTCCATTACAAAATACCCTTTTATTTTTTCTACAGTGCTTCATTTATTCTGTTGCATTTGTATCTATATGATCTAGAAATGCAATCTGTTTCTCACCACATCTCAGCACCAGATTCAAGACAACGACTTATAAATAATAATAATACATTTTTAAATGAGAAAATTAGACTTAATAGTTAATTATTTTACAAAATGACTGTTTTTTTTTTTGCCAAGCCTTGACAATGTGTGAGATGTTTAAACGACATCATTACTGTGACACCAGCAGGAAGCCTCTCCTCTTCATCACGTAGAAATTGTTTCTGACAAGACCAATGCAGCCCCCCCCCCCCCCCCCTTATATTCCCTCCATCTGTTTCCCCTCTCGTCCTCTAATCAGCTCAATTAAGGAGCGTCTTCGTACTCAATTTCCACGACAGCTAACGCGGCGCGCGAGGCGAGCGTCGGGCCGATGATTATCCGCTACTCGCCTCCCAGAGACTCAGAGAAACGTTTCATTGAGGGGGGGGGGGGGGGGGGGGGGGGGGGAGAGAGAGAAATCAGAGCAAATCATCCCAGGAGCAGCAAACATCGTCCAGTAATTTCAACATCGTCGAGCATCTGTTAGCACGGCGAGCCGATTAGCACACGGCTCAAACTGCAGCATTATCAATGTTTAGTGTCGGGAGAGGAGGAGGAAATGAGGAAGAATGAGGAAGAGCAGACATTAGTGATGGTGGAGGAATCTGTGATCCGCAATGAAACCTTAATGGATGTCTCTACTGATACACCAAGAGAGTGGAAAGTAACTTTACTTATGTACAATTGTAATGTACTTTACTTTACTTGAATATTTCCATTTTATGCTACTTTATTCTTCTCTACATTTATTTTAAACATTACTTATTATGGCTTTGTTGAATACTCGATCCTGATTGGTCAATTTCAACATTTCGAGATTTTTTTGCTAACAGATCGTTGTTAAGGAGAACAGACTGTTGCTAAGGAGCATTAAGGGACTGTGTGCAGTCGTATCAATCCGCAGAAAGAAGTCTGGTCAACTTTACGTCAGCTGTGGAAAACTTTGTGGAATTCTTGTTTAATATTTATTTTGATATTTGTGGAGAGAAGGAAACTCTTTGATTGATGATGGCTAAACTGTCTTCAGTAAAGAAAAGAAAAAGAGAAGGAAAGAGGTTAAAAGACAGAAATCAGTAGACAGGAAGTAAACACTAACAGGGAACAGTAGAAGAAGACAGACAGGAAGTAAACTCTAACAGGAAACAGTAGAAGAAGACAGACAGGAAGTAAACTCTAACAGGAAACCGTAGAAGAAGACAGACAGGAAGTAAACTCTAACAGGAAACAGTAGAAGAAGACAGACAGGAAGTAAACTCTAACAGGAAACGGTAGAAGAAGACAGACAGGAAGTAAACTCTAACAGGAAACAGTAGAAGAAGACAGACAGGAAGTAAACTCTAACAGGAAACAGTAGAAGAAGACAGACAGAAAGTAAACACTAACAGGGAACAGTAGAAGAAGACAGACAGGAAGTAAACACTAACAGGGAACAGTAGAAGAAGACAGACAGGAAGTAAACTCTAACAGGAAACAGTAGAAGAAGACAGACAGGAAGTAAACTCTAACAGGAAACAGTAGAAGAAGACAGACAGAAAGTAAACACTAACAGGGAACAGTAGAAGAAGACAGACAGGAAGTAAACTCTAACAGGAAACAGTAGAAGAAGACAGACAGAAAGTAAACACTAACAGGGAACAGTAGAAGAAGACAGACAGGAAGTCAACACTAACAGGGAACAGTAGAAGAAGACAGACAGGAAGTAAACTCTAACAGGAAACAGTAGAAGAAGACAGACAGGAAGTAAACACTAACAGGGAATGTTGGGTGTTTCTCAATCTCGAGTAAAGCTGCTTCAGAGCCACTATTTCAAGCATACTACGTCATCGAGTGCCGAAGTACTGTTCCAATGTCCAGGCTCCTTGGAAATCTACCGAGTCCGGCGTCCTTCGTTGCGGGAAATTTCGCGGCTGCACATGTGTATCCTCCGCGGTCTTAAAAATCCCCACAATGCTTTGCGCACGGACCAATTTCCCCAAATCTGTGGCGGAAAATGTAAGAGGCGGGGCCTCTCATATGACGCACACCTGCACACTTGCTAGCCTGTTCCACTCTTTGTTTTCCGAATGCCAGGAAGTATTCTTGCCTCGCTTCTGAAGCAAGATGCTCGGCAGACATGTGCTACCAAGCAAGCGTACTCGACATTGAGAAACACCCATGGACTCTGGCAGAGTTTAAAGACTCGTTAATATAAATGAAATGTGAAAAATGTTGGACATTTAAACAACATTTCGTTCAGTGCTGCTGTCCTTTTAAGATACGTTGATTTCGCCGCAGTTGGTACGCAGTGGAACGGACATTTTGTTCATAACGGAAGCAATACGATCATTTTTAAGCCAATAGTGTGTCAGTGAAATCCAGAGTGCAGGACTTTGACTTGCTATGGAGTATTAGAAATAATACATGAGAAGCAAAGAGCCGTTAGAGACCTCCACCAAGGCTCTTTCCGTGATTAAAAAAGCGATGTGGGTTTCCATCCCATGTATTCGGGTTCGCTGCATCATTGAATGTCTTTGTATTTAGCCCATCAACAGTTCTTACACTGGCCGTTTCTCAATCTCGAGTACGCTTGCTTGGTAGCACATGTCTGCCGAGCATCTTGCTTCAGAAGCGAGGCAAGAATCCTTCCTGGCATTCGGAAAACGAAGAGTGGAACAGGCTAGCAAGTGTGCAGGTGTGCGTCATATGAGAGGCCCCGCCTTACATCTTCCGCCACAGATTTGGGGAAATTGGTCCGTGCGCAAAGCATTGTGGGGATTTTAAGGACGCGAAGTCTACCCATGTGCAGCCTCGAAATTTCCCCCAAACGAAGGACGCGGCCTCGGTGGAATTCCAAGTATGCTGGAGATTGGAACAGTCCTTCGGCGGCACTTGATGACGTAGCATCCTTGAAATATTGGCTTGGAAGCCAATATCCTCGCGATTGAGAAACGGCTACTAAGTTTTAGGAAAAAGTTGTCGCTAGTTTTTTCGTAATCCTGCTGTCAACGGAGAAGTGAAACCTCCTTGGCTATCGCTCAAAGAAAGTAGAACTCCATTGAACTCAGACTAGATAAAGAGAAATAAAACACTTCAAGTATTGATGTGCCTTTCTTGCACAAGTATTGTCTTTTATGTCAGTGTCTATAAATATAAATAGTCAATTGATTGCGATGCTAATTTTGTGGATGTACATTTTCTGTAGGTGGCCCACATTGAAATGTGTGTCTGTGGAAATTGATAATGTTTAACATTTAGAGGTCAAAATTGGTGCTCATCTCAAAGATGTGTTTCCTAAACAAACAGAATTGAGGAGGAAATGAGATAAATCAGAGTGTGAAGCACAAACCCACTCCCTGTTCGCTGCATATACTGCTAGCTCACATTACCTGTCGGAGGCAAAGCAATCCAAAGTGCAGAAATACTCACATCTGCACGACTTATGGAAACAGCGGTGGCATCTTAAAGTGCGTCAGAAAACCCTTTCCTCTTCACAGCATGGAGCATGTGCAAACAACAGCCTTCAAATGACAGAGACACTTTCTCTGAGAGCAAACTCACTGTTTGTAAGACCTCTGATTGAAAGTCCACATTCATTCTCGTTTGCTTGACACTGCTTCATTACTTTGACATAATTAAAGGAGACGGTGTCGCTCCCACAATAAATGGATTCAAATATTTGCGTGACCCCCGAATGATCACGGACGTGTTTTGGCTTTTGTCAAGTGCATTAAATAACCTTTGGACAGCTTTTATCTCTCAAATTGGAAGGTAATTGCAGTCGTTGTCAGTGTGAAATGAAGTCTGTTGAGGCAGATCTGAATATTACAGGTCATTACGGTGTCAGAGCAATTTCCCTCTGCATTCTCGCTGGGTGGTGGGAGGTGTGAAGGAAGAGACTTTAATGAAAATTACAAAGCAAGAACCTGATTATTTCTCAGGTCGACGCAGAGCCGTGAACTCGTCTTCCCTTGACACGCTGCATTCAGGAGTTTCACAGTAAATTGGTATCTTTTTTAAATAAATAAATAACTGTTCCCCCCCTCTTTGAGTTGTGCCGTTCGGATGCTGCTCATCCTTTGACCTCGTGTTGAAGCGTTGTGTTTCTAAAGACAGCTCTGAACTCTGAACCCAAACCATAAACCGCCCTCTTTACCATCACCATAATGTTGTTTTTATGTATGTTCTTTTTAAGCATATTCAAAGAAACTCCTCAAGGTGTTTGCTCTCGGTTTTCTGACTTCAAAAACAGCTTGAGGATGAAAGATCTGCTTTCTGCTGGTTTCTGTGAATAATGTGCTCTGGAGCTGGGGGGGTCACTGCCTTTATACTGCGAAATGTCTTATAGCCTGTAGATGTATGGTAGCCTCCGAGGGTCATGCTTCATCCCTTGTAATACTCCACTCTAAAGGTTAAGGGTGTTACAAATCAAGGTTTTGGCTTAATGTGTCTTATTGTGAAACTCAAAACGTATAATAATCCACTTTTTGTGTTTTTTCAGTAAAGTCAAAGCTTGTTAAAAGTGTGTTACGGCTGCCATTTCTCTAAAGTCAGATAGATGGATTGAAGTGAATAGGAACAAAAACAACTTTCTTTTACAAATACAAAGTGAAAAGTCTGTTTTGTGTCAGTTTCAGGATCTTTTCACTTCTCCTAGTATGAGCTTTGGTGGGGAATATTAAACCTGAACACGGACATTTTGCTTTGAAGAAAATGCTTTATTATGTTATTACTTTTTATCAACTTGGGTCATCACTTATTATCGTACTCTAACATTGAGGTTGTGTCCATGTATTACATGATAAGTTATAACTACAAATTATTCAGGTAATTTACACATCAAATAAGTCGTTATGGTTAAAAGGATTGAGGTCATGTCCATATATCGGACGATAGGTCGATAACGTAAAAATGCTCAACGTTATTTCTGTATATCGTACAATGTGTCCATAACGTAAGAACTTATCCAGGTAATTTACATACGTCATACAATAAACAATTGACATAAAACCGATCCGGATCACGTCCATATTTAGTCCGATCGAGGTCATGTATCATACGATAATACGATTTATTGTACGATATGTCTACGACGTGAAAAGTATTGAGCTCGTTTTCATATATCAAACAATCATTTGATAACGTAAAAAGGATTGTGTTGTGTGTCGTATGATGGATCAATAAGTCATTGTTCCTTTATCGTACATTAAGGTCATGTCCATATATGAGATGATTAGATAACGTAAGAATTGTTGATTTGAATTCCATATATTGTAGGATAAGTTGAAAATGTGTGTTGTTATAATCCATGATTTTGTACAGAAACACCATGTGACCACATCAGTGTGTTGTTGTTTACAGCAATGGTACAGCAGCTCTGTGAAGTTGGTGTGTGTTTGGCTGGCGGACAGAATGGACCTGCAGCTGCACGTCTACCAGCTGAAAACACTCATCAAGATCGTTAAGGTACGAACTGTTTTCAAATCCACAGAAGAGAACAGAAACTGGGTCCAAAACAAACTGATTTTAGCGTTGAAATGCACATTTCTCTAACTTTTTACCCACAAGAGTCTCCTTTTCTCTGCTGTGAAAAGAAAGGCAGTGAAAGAGCCTCAGACTGGAAACACGTTGTCTTCAAATGACGTCTTATTCACGGTAAAACAGCCAGAAGTGACATTGAAGAACAACAACAACAAGAAAAATACGGACGAATCCAACGGAGTGTCCTTGAAGCAGCAGCGGTGTGAAGAGGCGAGGAAGGAAACAAAAAGCTCAACTGAGGCGCTTTGTCTTTTCATAGTTTGCTAATGTGCAGAGACGCGCGAGTTTAACTTGAAAGCAAACAGACGAGGAATTATAATGGCTTCTGACTGAAGGTAAAAAACCCTTTAGACGCCTCGGTCCGACACATAAAAGACTTGGTTTGTCCTTGAGCTTTTTGTCCTTTCAGACGCAGAGCGGCAGCTCCCTCTTCCTCGATGCATTCCTCAGACGCTCGGTTTGCTTCTTCTGCTTTATCTCCTGAAACAGAAGAACTATCAAGACTTCAGGCCGAAGGGATCCTTTCATTTCGTCGTTGTGTCCCTGGGCGAGTGTCTTGCCCAGGGACACAACGACGAAATGAAATTGAACCTGTGATGAACCCTGATCCGAACACCAACGCGCTAGCCCACTGCGCCACAGCCTCCTGTATTAGTACGATAAGCTGCTAAGTCAAAATGATGACAGTACTTTCCATATATCGTACGATAAGTCGATAACAAGAAAAAGATCATTTACATATAACGTAGAAATTCTCAAGAATGTTTCCATATATCGTACGATACCTTTAAATGATTTAGGTCATGTCCTTACGATAAGTCAAATGGTTAAAATGGTCGAGGTCATGTCCACATATTGTACGATAAGTTGATAACGTAAACATTTTATAGTCGTACAATAAGTCAATAACATAAAATGATGTTTAGCAATTACAGATCATTTCCACATGTTGTACGATGGGTAGATAAATTAAAACATAGTCAATTCTATTTTTCATATTTATTGTCTGTAAGTTAATAATGAATAAATTATCAAGTTTTTTTCTATTATATATATATCAAATTTGACTTTTTTCTCCGAATTTGACTTTTTTTCTTCAACATATTCGTTTTTTCTCCGAATTTGATTTTTCTTTTTTAAGTGTCATTTGTTTTTCAAAATGTCACTTTTTTTTCTTTTTTTTTTTTTAAATTTGGATTTTCTTTTTAAATCATTTTGTGACATGCACACTGAAGAGACTTGCAATTAATTGCCCTAGACTTCTGCTTTCAGACGTAGTTAATTATGAAGTTATTACCCAAACTGCATTTCTAAGATGCTCTCTGTTTTTCCCTCCCTTCCCCTGCTTCCTTGTCTCCTTCCTTGTCTCCTTCCTTGTCTCCTTCCTTGTCTCCTTCCCTCCATCAGAAGACGTACCGTGACTTCCGGCTGCAGGGCGTTCTGGACGTCTCGCTGAACAACAAGAGCTACGAGACCGTCTACAACCGTCTGGCGGTGGAGGAGGCGACCGCCGCGGTGAAGTCTGGAGACGGCCTGCAGGGGATCAGCATGAGAGACAGCGACCAGGAGGACGACTGAACACACACACACACACACACACACACACACACACACACACACACACACACACACACACACACACACACACACACACACACACACACACACACACACACACACACACACACACACACACACACACACTTCATACCGTCACACACACATCCTCTCTATGAAGGACCAGGACCTTCCATCACACTGTGAGTTATGTTCTAGATCAGGGGGGTCCAAACTTGTATCACTGAGGTCCACATAATAATAATAATAATATAATAATAAACTGTATTTGTATATAACCTTTCAGAATCAGAATACCTTTATTAGTCCCACAGAGGGGAAATGTACATTGTTACAGCAGAAATGAGCCAAAGACAGCCTAATGTTACCTAAGAAACAAAATACACATCTGTAAAGGTTCTGAGGATTTATCAGCCAGGTATATATTGCACAGTAAGTAACGGCATATATATATATATATTGCACATAGTTGGTATTTAACAAAAAGGGGTGTTATAGTCTTTCATGCACAAAGCAGCTCAACGTACTCTACAGAACAAGAAGAAAACATTCAGTTCAATTCAAAGGTTGTATTGTCATGTGCACAAAGCTGCAGTGTAGAGATGGCTTCTGACCTGAGCTCCTCCCACAATGCAACATATCTGATCAAATACAAAATAACAAGTGGTGAAAAAAGTCTATATACATGTAAATAGAATATGATATGTACAAGAACAGAATATAAAATATACATAACAACAGAAATACAAATAAAAAGATAATAGTAATAAAAATGCCATAATTCTAATAAAAGTTAAAGAAATACTAGATTATACTCAGGCTGTAGTTTGGACACCCCTGCTGTAGATGAAGAAGTGTGAAGCAAAGTCATCGTGGCTGAAGGTCCTAGTGAAAAAAAAACCCTCTTGCTCATTGCCTTGAAACTGCTGAGAATGTACAGGAAGTCAAAAAGAGGCGTGGCTTCTGACCGACCAATCCCTGTCCTCCCTCGCTCGCCTGCAGGACAGGAAGCCCCGCCCCCTTCAATACGCAGCCATACTCTGATTGATGTCAATTTGTACAGCGATGGCCGTCAGTGCATCTTCTTCCTGTTGTTTCTTTTCCATCGTCATGGTCGTAGCTTATTGTTAAAAAACACTCCGACAGTTCTTGGTGACTTCGCCGCCTTTTAACGTTGTTTTTAATCTACAGCAACGGCAGCAACAATCGACTAAAGAGATAAAGTAGGTTGTAAACTATGACGGATGTTGGACACTAATTAGGTTTTATCTTTCTATTTTGTACTTGTTTTATGTTCAGATGTGTTATGTTTCTTTGGCTATTGCTCCAACAACTCTGATTGTTGTTGGTGAATTGATGGTCAAACGTACAGAGCTCAAACCCCAGCTGTACAAAAATAGCCAAAACTAGTTTGCTTCAACCGCACTCCACACAATTATCTTTATTGTTACTTTCAATGGTTTCCGTGCATGGATTTGGTCGTCATAGAGAGGTGCAGTGACGCGTCCTACAACCCGGAAGTGAGTCAGCATTTCACCACTTCCTGTTCCCTGGTCTCAGAGCCAATGGGATCTCTCCATAGGATTTTGGAAAATATCTGGAAGTAAGGTCTGTGGTTGAGACACATTGAAGAGACGGATCACGTTTTGTTCTACGACATTAAATCCATCAGCAGTGACCCCACTGGTGATTTCTGAAGAGTTGACGTGTCTGAGAAACGATGGTTGTTACCAAGTGGCTGAATAGGACTACAGAAGTTGTGGAGGTCGTTGTACGTCATTACGCCGAACACGTAAACACTCCTCTAAGTTTGTTTGCCCTGTTCTGCTTGAAAGCAAGTACCTGCCTCCTGCAAACTGTTCAAACAAACGCTTCAACTCGTACCATTTAGAATCTGTGTGTTTGAATATGGATCTTAACCTGTTAAGCCCGAGAGACCCCGGTACCGGGGCACTGCCGCAACATCTTGCAGGAAACAGTGTCTGAGGGCATGTTCATTTAATAAAACTATGAATGTTTTATATCCATGTAACGGGAAGAAACTCATCTAACTGATCATTTTAATTTTTTTTTCAAAAGAAAACCCACAATGCTAACACTGAGCCTCTGAATTAGCAACGAGCGAAAAATGCTAACACCTTACTGCACCGAGAATCACTCACAAAACCTTATTATTTATCTTTTCACCACATCCATGACATCGTTTCACATCGTGAGGTGACACAGAATCTATTGACACTGACATTACCACTGAATTATACGTATTTGCGACGTTATAAGCAAAAACGGACATCAAAACAGGTGACGCTAGGTAGCTAAAAATGCTAACATTTTTACCTTGGCTCTGTAGTCTCTCCAAAGTGGTCTTCAATGGCATTAAAACGATAAAAACGCTGCTGAAGTTAATCCATAGGTTAATCTAATGTGTCTGTGTCCCTTTGAAATGATTTCTGATAATCCATAAGCATTAAAACTGCTTTTCCGTTTCCAGATGTCAAAGCTAGAGATAGGTTCACTCTGATGCAAAATTACATGCGCGAAGCCCCCACCTTTTCTCTTCACAATGTGTGTGTGTGGGGGACTCCCCCTTCGATTCTATTGGCTCTAACGGTCAGAAAGAGGTGTCAACCATCAAAATCGAGCAAGGGGGGGCCAGAGATATGGAAAATCCACCCAAATGACCCCAGAAGTGGTTTCTTTTTGCTAAACCTCTCTAAAAAGGTCAAATATCACTTGTTTTGCATCAATCTTGATACAGGGTACTTATTATATGTTGTACTTTGGATTCCTAAAGCTTTTAATCTACTAACCCATCATCCAAGGGTAGTTTTCACTATAAGTAAAAAAGAATTTTTGGACGGACACTATAATTTACAGTTTTTTACTATGTAAAATCTGAATTTTCTTTCAAATAAAAAACATCTATATTGATTCTGACTTTTCTACATCCAACTCACAGGTTTATCATTGCTTTGAGAAAAAAGATTATTAATTTAACCCTTTTAGAAGGGAAGATATGGTCATTTGTTCTGGGAATGTCATTTTCGAGCCTGAGACCTGAAAAACAGGCTCAGGGCTTAACAGGTTAAGCATAACGTTAGCATTTTGCTTCTGGCCATTAGATTTACGATTCTAAAATGATAAAAGTAGGGTAGACATGTGGAGATTATCCGGCTGAACAAAATGTGCATTTATCTAACAGCTTTGTTTTCCACAGACCTTATTTCCAGCTATTTTCCAAAATCCTATGGAGAAAGCCCATTGACTCTGAGACGAGGGAACTTCCGGGTTTCAGGACTCGTCACTGCACCACTCTACTGGGCAGAACCATTGAAATGTATTCCATGGTTTTGCAGAACTCCATCACGGTTTATTCTGGCAATAGCGTTGGGAACAAAAACAGAATATCTTCATATTCAGTCTAACATGAAGAACTCTTACAACTTCAAGCTCTTGATATGTTGCTGCTCTGCTGTAGTTTCTGAACTCTCCGTAGCTCAAAATGTCCCAAACAACCATCGGCCTCAGGTGGTGAAACGTGCAAAAAAATGAAATATTTCTACAGTGGTTGGAAACTGTGAATCGGACCGAATCAGGAAACAAATCTACGCAGGTCTACACACAAAAAGTCTCACAAAAGGTTGAAATTCTCTGAGATTTGGGGGAATAATCGTCCAGAATCACGACTACATGTTGATGTAGTTTCTGTTCATCGTGAAACTTACTGTTGTGAAGAATAATGTTGAGCTGTAGAGTTGATATGGTCATACTGCATCATGTCCAACATCGATCAAAGTCTTAGAAACGTGCCGACCAACTGCAAACATCTGGACTTTTTTTTTTAACAGGAACATTTGAACAGATCATCTCGGATGTTTCCCACTCACTGCCGTCTGTTTGCGTGTCGTTGTTGAGAAAAAAAAGACCGTGTTTAACAAGCTGCCGTTTGTTTACCTGTCAGATCCAGTGTGTGTCAGTGCCGTTTCGAAGGACAAAAATACTATATGAAGAAGTATATTTATATTGTCTTATTGTGCACCTGTTTTGTTCAGGTGTCTAAATGTCACTATTAAAAGTGTTTTTAAAGCACCTGTGTTTTCACTTCGTGGGTTTTTTATTGTCTTCGCCAGCTGTTTGGGGTTCCTATGCAAGATGCTGTTTGGGGGCCCGAGTTTTTACATTACACTACATGTTACTTGTTAGACGCTTTTATCCAAAGTGACTTACATACTCAATACTGTGACCAATCCCCACAGGAGCCATTTGGGGTGAAGTGTCTCAGGGACACAACGACATGCTGACTGCAGTGGGGTTTGAACCTGTGCTCCCCTGATCCGAACACCAACGCACTTATCCACTGCGCCACACGCCTCCCCACGCCTCCTACACCTTTTTAACTACAATGGGGGGATTCCGAAGCCTTTAAGAGGATCTGTGGAGATGCATCAATCTGTTACACTTTAAGAGGAAAACAGGCTGATTTCACGAAAACCAAGCAATTAAAACTTTAAAAAAATGATATTCAGAAGCCAAACAATAAGGCTCGTCTACGTCAATAAATGCAAGAGATGCAGCATTTTCTCATAATGTATAATTTACATTTGTCATCTTCCTCAGACGTCCCTCATTGGCTGACAGCCCAACGATGATTTGGACTTTATTACCCCAAAAACACAAGCCACAGCTTTGCTATCATTGCAGTTTAGTTGTGTTTATATCCTGCGTTTGATTTGTAAACATATAATGCTTCACCGAACACAAGAGGGGGCTCGGCTGTCTACACATAAAGACGGCTAGTTTGTATTCTCCCCAAACATATCGAGGCTGAACCTGAACTTTCATCTTGGGGTCCCCCTAGTGGCCGCGGGGGGCATCTGCACAGTCCGCCTATAGGAAGAAACGGCCCTGGTCTTCGCCAAGAAGATGATGTTCTTGGTTCGTCTGTCTTTGTGCAGGGTTACAAACAAACGACTGCCTGATGTTCACAAGAATGGGTGGAA